TCTTATAGTTTGAGCAGTTACATCATGACATATCTACAATTTAAGGATTAGGTCTATTGTTAGAACAGTACTAATAACATAGTAGACGATAATTCTACAGATCCATTCCTTGTGATGGTGCTTCTTGTGGCCCAGGACCTCATGACATGTTGAAGTGATTGCCTCTTTTATACTTTTCCAGTTGTCCTCAATAGTAGTTCCTTCTCCATTGAGTAGATCATGAAAGTCCTGGAACTTATTGCTGAGGGCTATCTTGAAATTGTTGAGTTTGTCATGATCCCGAAGAAGAGCCGTAGTAAATTTTTGTGATATTGTCCGCCCAGTTGTCCAGTGCTTCTTGAGTTTCAATTTTATCTTGGCGACCAGCAAGTGATGATCTGATGCTATATCAGCTCCTCTCTTTGTTCTCACGTCCTCCATCGTCCTCCTGAACTTTTTGTTGATGCAGATATGGTCGATTTGGTTCTGTGTGGTGTGATCCGGTGAAGTCGATGTGGTTTTGTGTATGCGTTTATGTGGGAATATAGTCCCACCTATGACCAGTTTATTCAAGGCACAAAGATTTGCAAATCTCTCACCATTTTCGTTCCTTTCTCCCAGTCCGTGTCGTCCCATGATCTCTTCATATCCGGTGTTGTCAGCTCCAACCTTGGCATTTAGGTCTCCCATTAGAATAGTCAGGTCTTTTGTTGGGCACTTCTCGACGATTGACTGCAGCCTATCGTAGAATTGATCTTTAGCGTCTTCGTTGTATTCGTTGGTAGGCGCATAGCATTGGATGACGTTCATTGTAATGCCCGTTTTCTTGGTTTTGAAGGAGGCTTTGATGATCCTTGGTCCATGAGATTCCCATCCTATAAGTGCATTTTGTGCTTGTTTGGACAGCATCAATGCAACTCCTTGTGTATGTGGAGCATTTTCTTGTTCATGTCCGGAGTATAACAGCAGCTCCCCTGAAGGTAGTCATTGTTGTTCCGCCTGAGTCCAATGTGATTCACTGATTTCAAGCACCTCTAGGTTGTGTCTTTTCAGTTCTGTAGCCATTTGGAAGACTTTCCTAGCCTCGCACACTGTTTGACTATTCCATGTACCTAAATAAACGGTTGCTCTGGCTGTCAGAATGTGCATCAGCCTTGTGGCATCCAAAGGAACTCGGCTTTCACCATGAGGCGTCATAATTTCTAAATGAGAATTTTCTGACTCCCAGGGCAGAGTTTAAATGGTTAGAATAGATTTCTCTGGTTAGCGTTTCTCTAGAGAGTTGGTTTTCTACGGGATGGGGTCTCTAACCTTATGCTCAACCCTCTTTCTTTAGCCAGTCTTGGGACCGGCAGTAGTCTCCGTAGAGACTCAGGGCTGATTTCAAAAACTTTACAAATCCCACATGTAATATAGTCCTTATCCAAAACTAACATGGATACGACCCTCGAGACAAAGTATCCAAAGTCAAATTTGAGAAATACAAATTTCGGGAAAACTTTTTTTTCACTAAGTATGCATTAATATGGAACATTCCTCTATCTGGAATACGCATGGCAGATGAATCACATACGTTTGTAAGACTTATTATTATTATTCACAAATATCTTATGGATACATAAGTGTTGTGAAGAAACCATCGATCAAGCCCTCACTGGCACAGATCTGGCACGAACGAACACATCTGAGACCCACACAGACATTATAGGCTCTCTACATGTATAGACCAAATTACATTATTTTTCTACTTTGTGGATGTGCTAAATAATTTTTCCTCCCTTAATATTTTGCTTGAAGTGCACTGGTAATTCATTGGATTTATCGATTTTCGATTGCTAAGATACGCTCACGAATACTCTAAAACGTCAAAAGAACCGCACAATTGACTGCCTTCTACCACTGGTCTTGCACCGACGTAGCCTGTTATCCATCAACCGGTTAATACGGCACAAAGGAACATCAGCACAAGGTTAATGTGAGTGGCTTCTTGTCTATTCTTTATCAGCTTTTTACTATCCAGTTCACTATGTTGACCTGACATTACTTTTATTACTCCACTTGTTACCTTATTTATAACTTATATTTCTATACGTTTCCGCCTACTTTGGTAAACAGCTATCCTACAATATACCCTTCTTATAGCTTATACTCTGACTGGCAACCTATACTTTGCATCTATGACTTACCCACAGTCCATAACTTGTAACTGCCTGATAAGCTTTAAAATGATACTTATAGAAATATTGTTCTTCAACAGGATGTGAAACTCAGAGCATTTTGCGAGGTATGAGATATATATAAAAAACTTAAACGAGCGTAACATCACAAAAGGGGTGAGTGTGGAGTTACTGACCAGCAAGTATTAATGGTGACGGTGATGGCTTCAACCCACTCATGTTTGTGTGGCAGAAAATTGTTTGTAACAGGCTCTTTATGTTTGACGACAAGTCAATCAATCTGTGATATTGAGGTTGTTCTCCTACGTTCACCATTCAGACTCATGTTTCCAAATTTATGCTGGATTAGCCATTCTACTAAGACAACCCATAATATGCTAACTCGGATTTTCACATTAAGACTGCGTGTCAGGCATCGGATGGAAAAAAAACAAAAAGAAAAAAAATCAAACAATAAAAGATATTTAATAGTTTTCTTCACACTATTATCTATACGAACCTTTCGTTCTAATAAACAGCCTTCCTTATTCCAACCCTCACATCACTTCCTTCATTTGAACTAACTTCACCTTCGCAAATATCACAACTCATTGTTCTTCAATTACCGCATTTTCTCATCTGATCACATTTCATTCTAGTATGAATTTAATCTAGTAATTTATCTCACCACTGTCTGTTCCCCTACAAAATGTTAAGTATTGTCTATCGTTTATATCTAAGTGCCTTGGTGCTCCTCGGTTTCTTTTTTTCAGAGTCTTGCACTGAGGGCACAGCTATACACTTCTGACATCTGCAAGAAACTGGATGTACGTGTATTCCCAAGGTAAAATTTCACACTATGAGCTCTACACGTCTGCTTTATAACAACATAAACTTTAAAAGTTGCATTGCATATATACTTAGCACGACCAAAATCCTAACGCAATTATACGGAGATTGGATCCGCTGTGTAGCGTGGACGCGATGCCTGTTTTGAGAATATTTTGAAGGCTGCTCAGTATATCTGAACGCATGAACTGATATTCACTTGTATAGATTATATTTCTTTAACAATCCTGTTTGGGATGCATACTGTGAACAAATAAGTGTTGTAATTTGTAGATCATGTCTGAAAAAATGGCTTGTACCTGCCCTTGCAGAAAAAAACTTAAGAGTCAACAAAAAAATTCACGAACGAAGGGGGCATATATCTATCTGCAGGGATTCCATCATTCTTTTCAAGCAGGTAGCGAATACATTACACTCACACACTGAACCACGCTGTGACCTCGAGTTTAGTCAAACACTAACTTATTGTCAGAGTCAAGCAACATGCAACAGAAAAATTAATTAAATAAAGTCATCTAATGAAAGCTCAGATGAAGAAATGTGAACAACATATAATGCGGTTTAAAGAGATCTAAATAAAAGTAAAACTACACGAAAGGGAGAAGAAACAAATAGACGACTACTGTCCAACAAAATGCTGCGGAGGGATCTTCAGTGTTTTCTTTCTGTTACTGTAGTAGTCATGCAATTTCGCTATATTGGATTGAATCGAGATTAAACGTGGATAGTATGAAGACAAGCTGACAAATATAGTAGGCTAAAATAGATACACTCATATTCACTGTAAATCATTCACCTATGAGGCCACATACAGCACACAGGAGCCTTGATTAGAAAAAACACAAATGCTTCATAAAATACCTTATTTGTACAGTTTTGCTTTTGCGTGGAATCCCGAGATAAGCTGAAAGCTGACAAGCTAAAATAGTAAAAGCACACCTGCGCATTGCACTTTGCTACATTCGATGAAATGACAACACAGAGACAGAAGTATCGCCAACCAAATAGCCTGACATAGATTATGTGTCGAATTATTAAGGGTCTACTCGTATTAGAAGTGAATGATATGAAAAAACAGCTTAAACTGAAATCACACCTTAAGATAAGTACTAAACGCGAGTTACCATTTCATTGTGTCAGGTACAATGGCTACTTTGATTACTGTACAACATAAATGACGTTTTCGCAAATATATATTAGTAAGAGAAGCTACTAGGCTGTGTCTTGAAACGCTGCAGCATATGTCAGTCCATGATGTGCAAGTAACTTCTGCGCGTTGCTTGTCCATGACCTTGACGTCTATCAGTGAAATGTTTGATATTCATTGATCCAACTATCTAATTATTTCGCTTAGGGCACGGTGTCGTTTTCACCGGCAGTACAGCCTAAAAATGAACTTTAAACAGGTCAAAACAATGGAATTTCTTAGAAGCTGAAGAAAACATTTAATCTGTGGAAGGTATAGTGGCCAAAAAATATAAACCATGTCCATCAATTCGTCATACTTTAGAAATTGTCAAGACCATAAGAACAATTGCTAGAATACAGAGAAAAAAAAGAATAACAGTAGACACAGAAAGCGAAAGAAATGATAAATACAATGAAAAAAATGGAATAGTTGCACCGCTTTTTCACACATTCCCACAAAAGCATACAAATGGATTCTAGTCCGATGTGCTCGAAAAATGCAATAATTAGAATAAATGTTCTACTCAACTTATGCTAAAAGTATTTTTGTTCTATTCACGAGGAAGCTGTAATTTATTGTGTCACACGTTTCTATCACTGACAATATCGCTTAAACTTATGACAACTGACTACGTAAGTCATTTGACACTCGGGCTAGCAAAAAGTATATGCGTTTCCTTAATGAAATAACTTAAATTTCTAATCATATTTTAAAGTGAGTTTAATATTTCTGCCTGTTTTGGTCACAAGTTTGCTGAAAATATGCAGAACCTTACTTCTCAAAGTGTCCTGCAGGACAGTTTAAATGGATTAACGCTCTCCCGAATATATCCGAGTGCTTTGTTCGACCTATTTTAAGGCGGTAAGTATAAACGTTACTTTCATACAAATAGCAGTGGACTCGTCAGCTAAAGTTATGTGCTGTATTTCTATTAATAGATCTCAACACTTGGTGAAGAAGATTTTTCATCGGACTTATCATTGTAAGTCATATACCCCAAATTTTTTTAATATTCACGAATCTGTAAATTCTATATTGTATTTAGACGCTTGTATTCGTGATTGGCAAGACCTTAATTTATGGACGGACTAATCATATATAAGATAACAGGTTTTGAATTTTATCGTGGAACTCATCCACTTATCCGGCTAAACACTATTTTGTTATTATTCCTGATGTCATTATAATGGAGTCCTCAACCTAAACCATCAACTGTAAATCGTAATTATGAATTCTCACATAGTAGGTGTACATTCTCAGAGCCATTTCAGCGTTGCCTAAAGGTTGTCCATAACTTAGTCTCAAGCCACTATTAAGGATTTCTAATTGTCACCAACAGAACACCCTACACATCGTAAGTCGCCAATGCACTTAGGATGTCAGTTAAGTTAGTACGTTGACTATGGCACCTTTGGACGAAATATTCAAGTAAGCTTTAGTTAATTCTTAGGAGGTCATACGACGTTTCCCATATTTGTTATATTGCATTAAGTCCCTATGTAACGTGGCCCACTCTTAACCAAGTGATTTAATCACGTGGTAGATAAAATATATGGCACTTGTTGCTATCCTTAAGATCATTTGTAGCATGAGCGACTGTCTAAAACCTAACATTGTAAGTACTCAGTACGAAGGCCTTATTTTTTTCAAATTCCGTTGCTTTGGGTGAACTTGGTACACTGTAGCTATTCAAGCAGTTCATATCCTTGGCTTTAAGTTGCTATAACAGAAATCAATAGTAACTGACTGTCCAGTAATCTGAATATTGTCTGAGACCTAAATACCGAAGTACTTCTTGCCTGTAAAGCAATGTTCCGTTTATTACTTTGGATAATTAAGGCTAAGAAAACAGAAGCGCGTAAATACTTACTATTGTATTAGTTTAATTTATATTGGACGTGCTTTTAGATGATTTGTTCTCACCATAGTACGGCGTTTTATATGTGCACTTTTCTACAACTGCAGATTGTTTCGACAAATACGTGAAAAACTGTCTTTCGCTACATGTGTAACAGTAATCAGTTAGTATGGAAGATACATGGGTAAACAAATATTTAAGACTAAGCAATTATTACTAGGTATAGCTAAGATTTACAAGCTGCAAACATTTAAAGTTCTGTGTTCTATCAAGGTTAACTGTTCTGAAGGAAAATTTTTTATGATGTAATATTTTTATTTTCCAGAATGACTGTCGACGATTGAAGTAGCTCCTAAAATACTCCTATACAATGCCAGCTGAGGAAGGACGTATCGCTCGCAAATCCACGACCTTGAAACAAAATCGGTGAGTATCAAGCTTAAATCATGGTTTTTTTCAGAAAACAAGCTCGCAGCGTACTAAAAAGCGAAAAGGTACTTAATCGGTCAACAAGGAAACGGGTTGTAGAAGTAATTACTCCACCTATCTCTGCAAGGCTTAGAAGTGCTGGTACGCGACAAGCGTGTGAAGAAACAAATGTCAGGTTGGATACCCTATTTTTGAAACCGAAAGGTCGTAAATCTGTTGCTCATGTGAACCAAATAAGGAAGAATGGTACACATCTTGATTTAATAGTCGGAAGTAATGGAATACCTGATGTATTGAACAACCATATTACGCCCACTGGTTCCTTGCAGAATGAAACAGAGAATAAAGTCTCCGAAACTCCTATTCTGCAACCTATGACAGGCTCACGTTTTTGTAGCACCATGTAGCAATATTTATGTTTTTGTCTAGTTTTTTTTGATACTTGTATTTTATTTTTAACAAAATATAATGTTTGTGAGTATTTTATTAATGTGCATAACCTCGATAAATGAACGCATGTGTACAAGTTAATATGTTTAACTGTGTGTCCTTTAATAAGATCAATTACATACAGACAAGGCAAAAAAGCTTTAAGGACTATAGACTTTCGTGTAGTTGGGTCATGGTCTGATATCCCATCTCAGTGCTTTCAGTAACTCTCCAACAAACTATGTAAGTTGTAGCAATTCGCGGACCAATTCTTGAGTGCTTGTCAGACAATATCACAAACCGATTCCCGTTGAGCATAATATTTCGTAAATAAGTTTTTGAATGCACTAAGGATATTGAAGCGAATCACCTAAATACATAAGCAGCTTTAATAAGAATACATACTAAGATTAATGAGAAATTATGCAGAACCAAATTAAAAAGAAAACTTTGAATCAATTCTCAGCTACAATTTATATCCTCAGCAAATTATCTTTCCTCGACTGGTAACAAGAACAATATGCAAATAATACACTGCATGACTAAATGCTTCGTCATAATGTAGTTTATTACAATTTGAACATAACTTTTATTAATATTTTGTCAAGATCCTGAGTTTTGTTCAACGTAGGAATGTGACTGACTTTTGAGCCCTATATGGAAGTGTTCATGTTATTTCTACTTAGAATTAGGAGGAATATGTTATTACCCAATTTACTGTATTAAGAAACCCGCCTCCAATCGGTTCTCCGATCCGGGAGTTGTATACCGTGTTTTGTGAAATCAATTAGAACACGTGTACAGGTATAATTAGACAATAATTATATATACTGTGCATAATTAAACGAAAAATCATGTAGACAATGGCGCATCGGCAAGTTCCAAATTCCTGAATTTCTCTGCATCGTAAAATCCAGCCTTCACGACACGTCCAGCAAAAAATCGGCCATTTAGATCGAGTACCGCTATAAAAACAAACCAGCGATGAATATTGAAAACGCGGAAATTATATGAAAAGTGACAATGGTAAAAAAGGACCACAAAACTTTCTGCTGGACGACGCTGTATAAGTAGGAGTGGTTGCGCAGTAATTAAATAACTCACTTTTATGCTAGTAGTTTGTTGGTTCAAATGTATTCTCACTGGTTCACACAAGTGTATTTTAAGAGTGGATATGTGGGCCTGTCCTTGATTTAAAAATCCTGAATTACATCAGAAGCCGTATTTATTTTCAAAAGTGTAGCCTACTGTTGTCCTAAATCAGTTGAGTTAAAACTCCTTTTTATAAATATGTAGTTATTCACGGGATGATTTCAGTTATAAAACTACTGCAAACAAGGATAAGCTGGACGGTAATTTTGTCCGAGTTTTGGACCAGTCAGTAGTGTGCTTTCAACACTATTAAGTACTGGATCCATGACTTTCAGACTTTGCAGAGGGAGCCTAAGATTTAAACCGTTGAGTTGGTATCTAGCGATTTGTACTTCCAACTTAAGTCAATTAGTGATGTTCCGCGCACCCGACCCGCTGCTGTTGGTGAAATTTGTGTCAGCCCGACACGGCTGGACTCGTGATCACAGCTGTCACTAGAGATTCAGGAACCAAGCACATCACAGAAAAGTACGAAACAGCTGTTCAGTACTTTCTTGTTTCTTCCCAATAGTACTGTAATTGAACCAATCTGTGATGTTAAATCTGTAACTCAAAGATCTCTACAAACCCAGTGATCATCTGTCATTTATATAAATTTAATTTCGGCAAAGAAATTCATGCATAAGCTGCATTATATAATAAAATTTTCGTTGATGCCATAACCGGAGATTTTAGCTGAGATTATAAACTAATTCAAAATCACAGTGATGTTCCAACAAACTAGTAACTCTCTAAATTTTATCAGCGACTGTATGGGTTAAATGATGTGTCTCAAGAAAATATTTTGACACGGACAAAAAGCGGACTCGCTTTTTAAAATGATTTCAAATAGCAACTAGTTATCCACATAAAAGAGAAAGATATTGGTAACATGCAGGGACTTGACAGAAATTAATAAGCTCTGAGATCTTTTTCTCTTAAAAACGCCTGGTTAAATAGTACGCAAATTAATACATTATTACGTGAATATGAATGAATACAAATGACAGGAAAATGATACACGACTGAAACTACCACTTTTTCAGAATATTGAGAAATCAACTCTGCATGAAAATGTATGTGCACTAACACATACCTTTTGTTGCTGCTTCCTCAGATTCGAATTCCACAAAAATACGAACTACTTCATCATCTGGAGCTTCAGGCAATTCATAAATCATACACATTACTACTTTGCCATATTTAGCACATTCTTCAGCTGTTTCGGGTTCTAGATCATCATCAACTTCACCTGGTCCACACATATTACGTAGAAGAATAACCTAAAAATCAGAAATACAGATAATCGTAAGGTCGTAGATTCTACGTATGAGTAGAAAACATTTATGTTAAAGAAAAACTATACTTGAACTACTCAAATATGAGGTAAAGGATGTAAAAATGTGTGACTTTATTATTCAACCATCCAACTGTTTTACATAAAATAAATAATTAGAATGTAACACTTGAAGCAGTGACCAGAATGTGTTAACTAAAGTATAATTTCTATTTATCTTTGCTGGACATTGAAATTAAAAATCTTAATTAGACAAGAGAAAATTTTCATTCCAACAGTTGTTTAAATGGAAGTGAAAAAAAAACTTCACACATTGTTTTATTTGTACAGCATGGAGGTTTTCTTTTACAATTGTATTTTTACTAAAATTTTACAAAATACTTATATTGAATATGTATATCAAAGTTAAAACATAAAAAATTCAGTATTGTGGGCATATACTGTGTCGATCTATAAAAAGCAACTAATTTGAAGGCAGGTAATCGGTGTAGTATGTGGTTAATTTTACATGAGCAAATTGTATTAGGAAAAACGACAAAACAAAAATAATAACATTAAAAGACAGAAAATCAATTAGAATTTTGAAACTACTTTATAATATCATCGACCCTGATACTTAATTTTGCATATTCTTGAGATATTTTGTTTAAAAACACTTCACTTTTAACAACAAAGTAGTTTATAATATTTTAAATGTGTAATATAAAAGCAACACGCCTCAGACTTAAAATCTTGGTAAGTAACAGAACAATGTATAAGACTCTTATAAATCGACAGAACTACTCGTGGAGCTAGAGTTTCACTTAATAGCAGTAGATACATTTACAATTTCGAAAGAAACTATTCACTAAATGATACAATCATTCGATACGAGAAAGTCTATAACTTACACAGCTTCGATTCTCTGGAAGTGGTAGATTATTGAATGTCTCTTCTACATTTGCACTCAAATAACTAGGTAGATTATTATTATTAGCAGCAGAAGCATTGACGTGAATTTGTTGACGTTGTTGATCTTTTTCATGAATTATCTTGCCACCACGTCGACTAGTTTTCTCGACAACTAATGCAGTGGACATTCCTTGACTTTCTCTACCTAGACCTTGTCCTTCTCGATATCCCATTCGAGCCATCATTTTTGCTGCAACAACATTACTATTGAAAATAAGAAGTTCAGTAAGAATAAATAAGCACGTCGATAGTTGTCATTTAGGAATATAGAACACAAACATTGAGATCTTACACACTGATTAGAAATAATGGGAATTAAACGATAACGTAAATCTAATGATTATTAAGTGCCAGTTAGCTGCACTTTCATCACATTTATTAGTCTTACCTGATATCTAAATCAAAAATTACAACATGGTCGTTACCGAATATGTGGGTTTGAGTTATAACTGGTAACATTGTGGAAACAAATGATAATTCACTAAATGCTAAAGCAATCGAAACAACTATATACTTTGTTATAAGACGTCAAATATCAACAAAAGATCTCAATTGAAGTCCAATCAGTAAAAACAAAGAACCTGGACGTATGTACATCGGTTCAAGTTGTCATTCCATATTAGCACACCGAGATGAAATTACTAGGCTAAATACCATAATATTAGAGGTAGTGACAGTATCAATGGGAATAAGAAAGATTAAGCATCGAAGATACGTCTGAAAAGAAAATGTAGATTAGAGAAAAACAAAAGATTCTGAGAAATTCAGAATTCGAGGGACAACAAAGAAAAGATGTACCGGAGCCATTGCAAACGGTTTTGAGCCATGTCATTCAAAGTCACTAACTATTGTGTACGATGTGAGAGAATCTTATTAAAATAAAATAGTCGAATAAGCATTTTCTATCTACTTACTAACACCTGTTACTTCTCATGGAGGAGCATAGGCGGGCCACCAGCACTCTCCGTCCAACTCTGTCCCGGACAATCCTTTCAAATTGTTCCCAGTTGCTATTCATTCTTTTCATGTCTGCGTCTAATTCTCGATGCAGTGAGATATTCGACCTTCAACGTTTTTGGTTTCCCTTCAGGATTCCCAGTTGGCGCTCGTCTCGTGATGCAGTTTGATTTCCGCAATGTGTGTCCTGTCCACCTCCAACGTCTCTTTTTAATTTCCTACTCAACTGGAACCTGGTTTGTTCTCTACCACAGTAGGTTGTTGCTAATGGTATCCGGCCAACGGACATTGAGTATCATACGTAAACAACTATTTATAAATACTTGTAACTTTTGATGGTGGCTGTGGTAGTTCTCCAAGTTTCAACTCCATACAGTAGAACTGTCTTGACGTTCGCATTGAAGATTCTGACTGGTATTGGTTAACAATCGTTTCGACATTCAGATGTTCCTCAACTGTAGGAATGTTGCCCTTGTTTTGCCAACCCTCACCTTAGTGTATGCATCAGATCTTCAACGTTCACCCATCGTGCTACCCAGATACGTAAAACTTTCCACCTCTTCCAGAGTTTCTCCATCGAGTGTGATTGAGTTAGTGTTCTTTGTGTTGTGTTTTAGGATCTTGCTTTTTTCCTAGTGTATGCTGAGGCCTACTGATGCAGAGGCTGCCTCTACACTGACTGTGTTCACCTGCAGTTATTGGTGTGTATGGGTTAGAACAGCTAGATTATCTTTAAAGTCCAAGTCATCTAGTTGATTCCGAGCTGTCCATAGTATTCCTTGCTTCCCGTATGATGTGGAGGTCTTCATTATTCAGTCAAACACCAGAAGAAAGAGAAAAGGGGAAGAGTAGGCAGTTTTGTCTAACTCCCATCCTTACTTAGAATGCGTCTTTCAGCTGTCCCTCATGAACAATTTCGCACTGTAGTCTGTTGTATGAATTCCGTATGGTGTTGACGATTTTTTCACGTACTCCATAGTGTCGAAAAAGTTTCCATAATGTTCTCCTATTCTGTGTGCCTTGATTTTCTCTATTCTTCTTTGGTCGTTGTTAATTGTTGTCTTCTTGTTCTTCCTTCCTTGAATTTTATGCAGGGTTTCGATGAAGATTCATTCCTTAGAATGATGATTCTTGCTGCTCAGAACCTCCTTACACGTCCAAGTTATTACTTCTTTGACCCCTTCCCAATTGTCATCCATAGTTGCTTCTTTTTTAAAGCAGATCTTGTAAGGCTTGGAACCTGCTGTGAAGAGTTCCATCTTGGCCACAATCATGTGGTGATCTGAAGCTATGTCAGCTCTTTTACTGGTTCTCACGTCCGCCATTGACCTTCTGAACATTTTACTGATGCAAATACGATCTATCTGTTTCCTTGTGGTGTGGTCCGGTGAGACCCATGTAGCTTTGTGTATGTGTTTGTGGGGGAATATTTTGCCACCTATAACAATTTTGTTGAAATCACATAAATTTGCAAATCTGTCACCTTTCTTGTATCTTCTCCCAGTCCATGTCGTCCCATGATATTCTCATATCTAGCCTTGTCCATTCCGACTTTGGCGTTTAGATCTCCCATTAAGATGATGGGATCCTTTCCTGGATACTTCTCTAAGATCGATTGCAGTTACGAGTAGAACTGATATTTATCGTCGTCATTGCTGGCTGCATAACATTTGATAACATTCATTGTGATTTCCTCTCTTTGTTTTGAAGGATGTCTTGATGGTCCTGGATCCATGAGATTCCCATCCTATAAGTGCCATTACGTGCTTTTTGGACAGCATCTCGGCTATTATCATGAGGCTTCAGAGTTCTTCCCTCAACTTCCAGGGCACAGTTCAAACCCTTTAAACGTTTTATTCTGGTAAGTTTTCTAGCAAGGCTGTTTTCTAAGGGATGTGACTGTCGACCCCATGCCCAACCCTCCTCCTTTACCCGGGTTTGGGACCGGCAGTAGCACTAGAAGAGATACAGGCGGACGTACCTGATATGTAAACACTGTAATTTTTAAGGAATCAGATAAAACTATTCTAAAGTAAGAATCGGCGTAATGAAAACATGACATGGATGAAAACAAGTAAGCCTGACACTAATGTCCTAAGTTCGTGGGACTGACATGACCAATATCTAACAATCATTGACAGCTTCAATGAATTCCAATCATAGTTATTTTATATAAAATTTTATTCTGCAAAATAACTTATATTTTCGTGACAAATGATTCAGTTCCTCAGATATTAGTCCATTTTGAGCTTTAGCCAATGATTCGAATTCGTAAGTAATCATCATTAAGATGATCGACATCAGTCAGTCAGCTGCAACGTAGGACCAGGCACGTATATGCATCGGTCCAAGTTGCCATACCGCATTAACACAACAAGATGAACACCGGATTCATAGAAGTAGTTAATTCAGTGGTGGTAATATATAGAAGAAAGAGTGTGTATAAGGATATAGTACAAGAAGATAGAATTAGTTCCTAGAAAGAAATATTTGAAGTGATTTTAATCTCTTAGTTTAAAGGAAGACAGAGAGTGTACACACCGACGCCATTGTGATCGATTCTGAGCCATGTCACCAAGAGTCTCCAACCATTGGTTACGATAGTCACGCGGACCCCAACCAGACAGTCTGCATCTACCAACATGGCTCAGACCAGAAGTTAGTGACTTCAAGCACTGATGCCACGTTTTGGTTTGGCCGCCCCTAACTTTCTTCCAGTCATCCCTAACACCGGTTACCATTGCGCGCCGTGGTAATCGGTGTTCAGGCATACGCAGCACGTGGCCCAACCATCTCAGTCGATGAAGGTTCATAACCTCATCAACTGATTTACCATCATTCCCTAATACCCTGCGTCTAACCTCACTATTACTTACCCGGTGATCCCAGCAGATACCCGCAATATTTCTAAGGCACCTGTGGTCAAATACTAGTAACTTACGAATATCTTCTACTCTTAAAGGCCATGTTTCACAGCCGTATAGTAGAACGGAACGAACTGCCGCGCAGTATACTCGTCCCTTAATTGATAGACGGATATCTCGCCTGCGCCATAGATGACGTAAGTTGGCAAAGGCCAAACGAGCTTTTCGAATCCGTGCTGAGATTTCGTCAGACACCAACCCATTAGGGCTGATTAGACTTCCATGATAAGTGAAGTTGTCAACGCGTTCGACTACTTCACCCCCTATCCTTAGTTCAGATGTTGACGCAGACCAGTCCTGCAGCAACAACTTGCATTTGGAGGGAGAGAAGCGCATCCCAAACATTCTGGCATTGTTGCTCAGTGCTACCAAAAGATTCTGCATTTCATCAGCGTCTTCACCAAACAGGACTATGTCATCTGCGTATTCTAAGTCAATAAGTGGACCTCCTGGAAGGAGATCAATACCCGAGAATTCAGTCGATGAGAGCGTTATTTCCACCAGTAGATCTATGATGAAGTTGAACAAAAATGGAGAAAGTGGACAGTCTTGGCGGACGCCACTTGAGGTTGCGAAAGCAGATGACAGTTCGCCATAAGCTCTCACTCGACTAGTAGTGTTCGAGTAAAGAGCCTTCACAAGGTACGCCTTTCAACGACAGGCACTGCCACAGAACCTCTCGGTCAACAGAGTCAAACGCTGCTTTTAAGTCAAGGAAGACCATCACTGTCGGACGCCAATAAGTATGCCTGTGTTCTAGAACCTGACGAATGGTGAATATGTGGTCTATGCATCCACGACCAGGTCTGAAGCCAGCTTGATTCTCTCGTGTTTGCAGTTCACGAGTCTTAGTTAGGCGTCCGATAATTATCGATGCTAGTATTTTAGATACTATATTAGTGAAACTAATCCTTCTATGGTTGTCACAGGATAATTTTGACCCTTTCATATATATTGGGACGACAAGTGATTGTGACCAGTCAGAGGAGATCACGTCCACCTCCAAAATTGTAGCTAAAATATTAGTCGACCTAGTCGCTAAAATTGGACCACCATCCTTAAAGACCTCTGGAACCAATCCATCTGGACCTGCTGCCCTTCCTCGTTTTAGATTAACTATAGCATTTTGAACTTCCGCTTGGGTTGAAGGACGTACTTCAATGTTCCATTCACACTGTCTGGGAATAGAGGGTAGTTGTAGAGTAGCTGAAGGCCAGCTAAAATGCTCCTTAAAATGTTCCGCCCATCGTTCTAAGCGTCTGGTCTGGGAGCAGATGAGAGTGTCGTCTTTTTCCGAAATAGTCTGACTTACACCTGACTTTTTAGTTCCAGCTTTTTTATAAGTCTAAAGAGCTGTCTGGTGGTAGCCATAGCCGCCGCCTTTTCCATCTCTTTTGCTTTCGTTGCCCACCACTGCTCACGATCGTTCCTTAGACTTTTGCTTAACCTAGATCTGATTTGTTTCCTCTCTTCATCGTGTTCAGATCCTGATGGGATGAGTTTACGAGAATCCATCAGTGCAATAGACCTTGAAGCAATCCATTGGTTCTTTGTAACCCTGTGGTTTAAATCACTAGCAACATCGGGGTTAGCCTCGTTTTCAGAACTACCTAAGTGTGACCTCAGTTGTTCCTGGAACCTACTTTTGGTTTTCTCATTACTCAATTCGGTTCTAATGAGTCTTTTTTGTGTGGCTTTTTAGCGTCTAGTGAGGCGCAAACAGATGCGTGCTCGTATTAGAGCATGGTCGGAGTCCAAGCAGGTACTCCAGAATGAGCGACAATCTTCTATTGATCCGCTCCAACGATGACTGATGGCAATATGGTCTATTTGAGTCCATCATTGGTTTGGTGCAGTGGGTCGCCATGTTAGACGATGTCTCTCCTTATGCTTAAAATTAGTGTTTGCTAAAAATAAACGATTGTCTGAGCAAAGTTGCAGCAGACGATCACCATTATCTGTTCTCTGTGCCGGAATACTAAAATACCCACCTAAATGTCTTTCTGTTTCATTTAGGCTACCTACCTGGGCATTAAAGTCACCTGCTATGAGTAGTATGCCTAAGCGTTTAGCTTTCTGAAGAAGTTCAGAGAGTTTTCTGTAAAATTCATCTTTCACTTCATCTGAACTGCAGTCAGTGGGAGCGTAAGCAGAAACGACGTGTGTCCCTATCCTTTCGAGTTCTTACGGAGCCATTTAGCCGAACAGCGCATAGACGACTGTTATTATTTATTTATTTATTTATTTTAACACATAAATATCGGTACAAGAAGGCACCAAATACATATGCGCCACACAGATCTCATTTGATATGTGTGAGGGCTGTGATACTGCTCGGGTGCCCAAACCGAAGCAGGTGGTTTTCTTAGGGGGCCACACCGCGAGCCTTCGACCTGAAGATCTGATCCACAAGGCAGTGGAGCATCGTGAGGAGATGCAGTCCCATGGTAGCCGGTGACCAATGATTGGTTCATACGCCATTTGTTCCTTCAGGATACTGGAGCCCATGTGCACCATTGGTTTGGGATCCGGTTATAGCGCCGGACATTCGCTTTTCGTCCTCTCATTTTTGTAAACAACACCCCCGCCACGAGAAGACAGTGAGTAGGACTTCCCTGGCAGGGGCTGTATACGCGTGGCCATATGAGAGCATTTCGAGAGGGGGAGCGGACTCCCCCCACTCTCGGCCGTACCAGGGCATTTGGGGGCTAGACGACTGTTAACGGGGATCTATTCTAATAGCGCTTGTTCCGCCCTCATGCTTGGTGCTACGTCTACACCTGTCAGTCCACCAGAACTAGCCATCGGGTCGCCAGATACACAGAGGGTGTATCTCGTCGGCTCTCCGTTTTGCCGAGGTGAGGTCAAGTGAATGACCACACTAGGATCCTGTATGCGTGTTTCGGATACACAGCATACATCAATGGTACAAGATTCTAGGGTTTTAGCCAAGGAAGCCTGCTGACCGATTTGACATAGTGTGCGTACGTTGAAGGCTCCAATGTGTAGTTTGGAGCGGGATTTCAGTAGACCTGGGACAGTGTTTTGCGCACTAGAATCGTTGGCTGTGGTGACACTTGAGGAGGAAGCTAAAAGAGGGAGTTTAGATTTGAAAGTCGATGTAAGAGGAATAATAGGAATTGAAGAGGTAGGTTGATTATGAATACAGTGGTCTTGAGTGCTGTTAGAGGTATGAGGGCGGTTGTCACTTCCCGGTTGCCCACACCGTGGTAGGGTTCTGCTGGAGGTACCTGAAAAGGAAATTGAATTAGAGGTGGTCATAGTGATCTGCCCAAGGAACAGCTGCTTGATGTCAGTCACACACGACCTTTTTATGAGTAATTTTTGTGTTAGCTCCGTACTTGTTGAGACCTTACCGCCGGAGACGGATATCCGTGGGATAAGGCGAGGTGTGCATTTTTATGGTCGACCTTTTCTAACCCCACCCCTCCTCTTGGGAAGGCAGCATCGCTGTTATGCTGGTTGTCTGAAGGAAACGCCTTACTGCTGTCACACCTCTGTACAGTCAGCAGTACGACTTCGCCTTCGGTCCTAGGTTTTGCTGCTTTTAGTCTTACCGCTCTCCAACCGACCTGTCTGGCATGGTAGAACCTTGAGGAACTGTTGTTCCAGCCAGTATAGCTCAGTTGCTTCATCACGATAGGCAAGCCCGACCACCACGTCAAGGTAGCAACAACGGTCAGGTGATGATCGACATTTTTATCTGTTGTAACTAAGTATGATTTAGTATATAAATAGTTTTAAATTCCAAATAACAGCTTAATTTAATAGTATGTGTACAAATACACAGAAAATTAACTGGTTTTATTTTTCAAATTTTTTGCTTAAGATTTTAAAACCAATAATATGAACGAATAATCAGTTCATCTACTAGATAAATACTTCACCACCAGAGGATATTTAAGAAACTAAAATTCAAACTTATTGATGAACAACACCTATTTCTACATGTCATTACTTTAAGTTGGAAAATAAAATCAAAGGCTAAAAAGTGTTATTCTAAATTACAACATTGAATAAGAAGTTCAAAAATGTTAATACGAAATGTTCAAAAAATCCAATAGATAAAAGCGGCTGATCAGTTTGATTTAAATTTTTCTTGCGATCTATTTATCGGTGATTTATGATCTTACTAAGTTACATTTAAATATTAACAAATATGCATACTTTATGATTAATGTACCAAATAAAACTTAGTTACGAAAGTATTTCATTTGAGATAATATTTTAAACATAATGATTTATTTGAACGCATTTCTAAACACTATATATATATTTATATATACACGTTGTTGTGACTCCAAATCAAACTTTTAAGATATTTCGAAGATTAAGGTTATCATAATATTTACTAAATGTAAGCAGAGATTATGTAATCTTTACAAAAATCTATCAGATAAAAATAACATGCAACTTTATATTCTATTCAGTTAACAAAAATCCCAATACAAATCCGATTAGATGAAATAAAGAAATTGTACATTAGAGCAAAAATCATTATTCTACATGAAATTACTCGTAATTATTATCGCGGCAATAAAAAAGATGTAATCAAAATAATACTTGAATAATTTATTATATAACAAAAGCTACTGTTCAAAAAAGTACACAGAATACAACTTCTATTGCTTATAAATAGTAAAGAATGAACAATCGATATTGGACAGATATCATTACATATTATTGACAACCTATTTGTGGTAGTAAATGTTATAGGAGTAATTATAGTAAAAATAAATTTGGTAGTTTTCTGTTGAGAATATTTGATTCACATAATCATTAGTTTTAAATAAACAGAAACCAAGTTGATTAGATATTTTTTCCTTTTCTTTTGTTAATTAAGTCGATAAATAGCAAAAAAGTCGCTTGTTATTAATTCGAAATGGTCGATAATGTTAGTAAACAGATAATATATAAATGCCAAGAATTGCTGGCTAAATTAAATAAGTCTTCCCAGAGAATGTATACGAGAATCAATCAATAGGAAACGTAAAATAGATAGTTCCCTTCATAGACACATAGAGTAAGAACAACAAACCTTTTGGGGCGAAGTAAATTCAAATCCTTTAGTGTTTTAAATCTTTCATCAAAGTACTCGTGTTTCCCAATAAACGATAATTATTACCCCTAATATTATGATCGGTTTACTATTGCTTTTTGGCTATTACTATTACATATATCATTCTATCCGTTACAACTACAACAGTTTGTATGTGTCTTGCGCTTGATTACGTTAAAGTCTTTCGCTAAATTATTCTGTTCATTTAAAAGTTGAATGTGTATGAATATGGAGAGTGATTTTAGTGGAGTTTAGTTCACTGAGCTGGATGGTTTGATCGAGGAGCTTTCACTGTTCTTCTGAACAACATCATCGGCACAAACTTCAGATAGAAGTGAGGTATTCAGATTTCTTCACTGTAACTAACAGCCTGTCCTGTCGACATCAATCTTGATAGGTTAGTGTTGATGTTGTTCAAAAAAACAATGAAGGCTCCAAGACCTAACATCGAGCCCAGTAAACAAAACTCCAATAAAATCATCCAACTGAGCAACAAATCTTCACCACAATCTCAAAGTGATTTTGATTATATTTCAGTGGTGAACTAAATGAATTCGTGCATATTACACACAAAGTCACATTTATAAAACATTTTATGCAAATCAGTCGCTATGCGAAAGATTTAAAGCACAAGAAATAAATTCGACTGATCTCACAAAGTTTGTTGTTTTTGCTTTACAGCAAGAAATGGTAATATAGTCCAATATAGAAGTTTTACGCAGTAAAATAAACACATGGTTTACAAACACTAAAGTATCGCGGTAAAATGTGTGTGAAATCAAGTATAATAAATTGCACAAGATACGAACAGGATAAATAAACGAAAACATACATTCCAAATTTACTACTAGCTGTGCTAACTCCAGGATCATCATCATTAACCGACGATTCAGAGTTTTGTGATGTATTTGAACCAGGAGTAACAGTTACATCTTCGAGTAAAACAGATGGGGGTGCAATAGCAGCACCCTTTGTTGGTTGAGAAGAACTCCTACCGGAAGCTGCAGTATATTCAGTATCTTCGTCGTCTTCTTCATCTGAATACTCATAACGACGACACATTCCCGAAGGATCATTCATACCAAATGGATCCAGTCGATGGTGTCTGTCTGCAAGCGCAGATTCCTAAAAAGGGCAGATACATGAAAAACTTGTTAAAGTAAAGTATTAAACACTGGACGAATAGTTTTAATCACAAAATCTTGAAACTATGCATTATATATATATATATATATATATATATATATATATATATATATATATATATATATATATATATATAATCATTCTGGAAATAATTATAGCGCATGGTCAGAATGATATGGAAAGTAATGTCATACGTAAAGGATGAAATATATAAGGTTAGGTTGATTGAAAAGATACGATTCATAAATTGTTTTGAAAAAAACATTTGTTACAGAGGTCATAATAATGTCAGACACTAATCGCGATTCGGATATTCTTTAAAAGTATGGATATTGTGTCAAAATTCCAAATACATAGCCAAACAATCCAGCCATTATGAAGTTTGATGGCTATTTATATATGCAATCATCCTTTCATTAATGGATCTAATAAACAGAAAGTTCTTTATTGTTTTGCATTGCTACTGTTTAGCTATTTATAAAAGACTTATGAAAAATGAATGAAGAAATAGTTAATTTTAATGACGTTTGTAAATTCATTATTCTTCTAGGTGAAAACAAGAATAAAAATACCAATAGAATGTCACCTAATCATTTGCACAGAAGTCATAATAATTAGTAGACTTAATTTTATAGATCATGTAAGTATACTGAACATAATCTATAAATTGAGAAAGAGTTTGAAGCTTTAAATTTTAAAGTCAAAAACTTTTGTAATAGTTGACAAGTAAAACAGGAATCATTACACATATATTTCTCCTCAGGAAAGATATAGTTTTTATATTCAATATTTTACCAAACATCATTTTTTATGATGCGACCGTAGAGATTGAATCATATACTTATGATGTGATATTTTCCTCCTGTTGTCTTTCAAGAAATTCACTATATTATGCTAAACTAATATGAACAGCCTATTGTTTATAAAGATGGAATATTTAAGAAATCTAATCAAATAGGGAATTGATGAATATTTACACAAAAGCAATATAAAGATGGGATGTTTTTTGGCGACATTACCATTTACTGGAACTGTGTAATCCTAGTATGAGTGATTTACCAAATAAAATATTTTGTTTCTGCCTTATTATTTTTTCTTATCCTTAGAACATAACATAAAGTTTTGGTGAAGCTTTTCAAACAATTTATAGTATAACTTTTTTATATTTTTCAACAGACTACTACTCTTAAAATCACTAGAATTACTATTATGCAGGTTCAGTAAGCAATATCATCAAAAATTTTTAAAAGATCCTTTGTCAAATTTCCTTGAGATCTTTTTCAATATGATAAGGGGAATTTCTGTCTTAAAGTAGATGATTAAAAGAGCTAAATCCTTCGAAATCTGTATGATATTTACAATTAGACCTGGGATAATTAATTACCTCAGCACGTCTACGTTCACGTTTAATTCGAGCTAATTCTTCATATTCATTAGGAATCATGGGATTATATTCATCCATCACACCCAAAGGTAGATTTAGTTCACCAAATAGTAAACCATTCGTCATAGCTGTATTGGAATATTTCAACGAACGTTTAGATTTACCTCCACTGCTTCCCGAAACACATCGTTCTAATCGTCCAGTCAATTGATTAAATCTAAATGGTCATCAACATTTAATTAAAGTGAATATACAATATTAACTGTAGATAAGGAAACATGAAAAGGGATATTAGTGAGAATGACTATCACGAGCAATCATAAAACCATTGTTAATTCATAGCAAAAACAATCATTTTTGTAAAGTTAGAAAAGATTGATAGCAAACAAAAACATTAAAAAATTATTTACTTCCCTCAATCGTTTACTACAGTGACGTCAAAAAATATGGGTTTAAGTAGTACATATTATTTTTGCACTGATGCTCCCAGAACAGATTAGTATCAATTAATGCTCTTTATCTGATATAATTTATCTTTTGAAATGCATGATTTATCAATCCCTTATGAGAACTTGTACATCTGATTCGCACTATTATTTGTTAGATATGAAGAAGAGAACCACAGTGATGTTTGTTTACATAATGAGAACAGTAGCAAAAAAAAAGTGTTTTACAGTTTCTGCTTACAGTATTTTATTCACTCAGTTTTTCGCACAAAACGTTAAGTTGGTTATTATTCAAAAAATTGTGATATATATATTATCATTTAGGGAGGCAAATGTTTGATTTGATTTCAAATGCGATTTTCAATGTACAAGTGAATTCCTAGTTACTTATGTAGATAGTAATTTTCGGATTTAATTAACTTATTTACATTAATTGGAGTCATAATAATTATATGGTGATTCATTCGAAAAAATACAAGCATTTTAATATTCTTTCAAAAAATAACAATTGAAGCTAATTAGTTAGATGTTATTAGAGGTGTTTTGGAAAAAAAGAACATATCAAAAAGGTTTCTATGTTAATGAATTAACTAAAAACATGTAAATAAGTGAACAGGTTAGTTGAAAATTTATGTATATGTATGTACATATTTTCCTTTCATAAGGTATATCAAAATAAAAAAGGTGAACTACACAACAGTTATTTTACAAACTCCAATCAACTAGAAAAACGTAAAGTTTTAGGTCTCTCAGTGCATATTAATTACCATATTCATGTTTACTATTATATATATATATATATATATATATATATATATATATATATATATGAATATAGGACACATTCTTAATTTAGTTTTATATAGTTGTAAGGACATTAAACAAATGGATGGATTGTCAAATAATGATGAAGAGATAAGATAAAGACGTCTGAACAAAAGTTCAAACTATAAATGTTGTTAAAAAAGAAAGATTAGTTCAGCGAAAACTTTTCGGCGAATTCATTTTCAAAGCTGTACAATCGCGAATATATATACTTAATTTCCAGGATGATAATAATTACAAAAATACTGATAATAAACTTCTATTGAACATGGTGACAGTAAGGTAGATTAAACAAAGATTCCTTCAAATAAACTTCCGATATTCTGATCTTAATTCCATTATTATTTATATAATTGCAGATCAAATTGATGGTCTCTGCGAATAGAATATTAGTGTTGTCACAAAAAAAGTACTTTTTTCTGAATTTATTTATTTATTTGAACACATAAATATTGGTACAAGGGGGCACCAAATATATATGCGCCACACAAAACTATGATAATTTGAAGAGAAAGGGGAAAAAAAGAGAGAAAAATAATGGGGGAAACGGAAAGGTACAACCAGAAAAAGTCTTTCAGTTAAGGAAGAGGCAACCACTTTTTATGAAGTAAGTAAAAGGTTACAGCAGGATCGCCATTGGCTTCTATTCTGAGCCATATCTGATAACGTCTCTAGCCAATGTGTTGCACCGTCTCTCGGACCCCAACCAGGGAGTCGTGAAGGACCAACAGAAGCTAGCCCTTTGCAGCTTTCTTTCATACCACGACACCATGTCATATACTGACCACCTCTCCACTTTATCCAACCAGTCCCAGAGTCGGCAAATAATGCACGACGAGTTATTCTCTGGGACGACATTCGTAGAACATGTGCAAGCCACCGAAGTCGGTGTTTCAAGATGGTGACACCAATTGCATTATCGTCTCTGTGCCCGAACACACGATGCCGAACCTCTGCATTACTAACATGGTGTTGCCACTGAATGTCAGCAATCCTTCGGAGACAACGATGATCGAACACAGAGAGTCGTCTAACATCCTCAACTCGGAGAGGCCAGGTTTCACAAGCATAGAGCAAAACTGCTCTCACCGACGCGTTGTAGATCCGACCTTTTACAGCCAGACTAACATCACGAAGGCGCCAAAGATGGCCCAGATTGGCATAAGCCGCTCTGGCTTTCACTATACGTGCACTGATCTCACTACTCACGCCACCACCAGCACTTATGCAGCTACCTAGATACACGAACTTCTCGACTACTTCTATCTGCTCACCATCCAGAGTGAGTACAGGATTAGAATCCTGCCAGTCTTGTAGAAGAACTTTGCACTTCGAGGGTGCAAAGCACATACCATACCTACGGACACTGATTGCCAACCGATTAAGTGCGGATTGCATGGCTTGAGCATTCTCGCACAGTAAGACAATATCATCCGCATACTCAAGGTCGAGAAGTCTTTCTCCAGGCAACAGATCCACACCACCATTACTTACATCCGCCAGAGCTGTTTCCAGAATGTCATCGATGGCAAAGTTGAAGAGGAATGGTGAGATTGGGCAACCCTGCCTAACCCCACTGCTCGAATGGAATAGTGGAGAAAGGTGATTGTATGCCCTCACTCTGCCTGAGGTGTTTGTGTATAGGGCTTTTAGGATGTTAATAAACTTCTCAGGCACACCCTTCTTCAATAGACAATCCCAGAGAACAGTTCTGTCCAACGAATCGAAGGCAGCCCTGATGTCAAGAAACACTACGATTGTTGGCCTTTGATAAGTATGGCGGTGTTCTAACATTTGGCGGAGGGTGAAGATATGAATAATTTAACAATTATTTGAAATCCTCACAAAACATAATATTAAGAGGATTTTTAGTATTACAGTTGGTACAAGAAAAAGAAACACTGATAATTAATAATCTATCTACATACTGTTTTAATAAGATTACTAAACTGAAGAAAAACTATGAAAACTTGATTCTTTAGAGTAAGACTAATGATATTTAATTAGTTAAATCAACATAATAAATGGAATGATTAAGAAATAACACTCGTGATGCCCAATTAACATTATCAAAGCATTTTAAACGGAAACAATATTGAAGGAAAAATGAAGAGAATGACTGAAAGTATTATAAAACGATGAAAAAAATATGGATATATAAGTGGATAAAATATATTTCCTACTAGAAAGCGTCTTATTAAGAGTCTTATGTATATGTACATATGCATAGAAGTGACATTTGATTACACAACCAAATAAAAAATATCTATTATTAATGTTAGTTACTTAGCAGTGTAATATACTTGACGTTGATAATGTCCAAGTTTCTTTCATTGAAAATAACGGAAATAAGTACATAAACAAGCATATCATATTTCACATAAAATTAAATCATGGTATCGACTTTAAGTAAAAAAAGTAATCACAGTCCCTAAATGACAGAATTGTAACAAGTTACGATATAAGTCATATCCTCATTTAATGAAGAAAGAGAAAACATTAGTATTGTTTCCGTCCGCAAGATCAAAGAATTAAACAAGTATCAGCTGGGTAAATTTAAACAGTAATAATCAATTGTAAAAAGGTGGTAGGCAACCAGAAAAGCAGATAGATGTACAAGATAAGAAAATAGAGTAAAAATACTACATCCAACCCAGAGAAGCCTGATAAATACACTGACAATAATTTTAGACTATTAGTCTTTCAACAGCTAGATAAATCATCAAATATGAGTATTTTCATTTCCCTTAAAAGTGACTTGACTATTTATGTTTTATTTTGGGGAAGTATTGAACGATCAATTTTTATTCAACAGACTATCAATAATAAACTGAATAACAAAAAACTAGTGCTTCTAGCAATGTTTCTGTAGCCTTACGTATATTCACATCACGATTTATCGAACATTTGTGAAAATATCAACGTGTTTTATTTTCCTGTGGCTATAGTTACAGCTAGGTGTTTTTAAGCAGAACAATTTTATATATTGAGAATATCATGAGGTCAAATTCTCTATGTCCAGCGATACTTATAGTCACACAGTTCAAATATCGTTATTCTTTATTTGTTTACTGCCATTTTACGATACAACCTACTAACGAGAATACAAATAGCAATTACGAACAATAATTAACAACATAATCAGTGTTTTATGGGGTCTAAATTAAATCTACTCACAATTTGGCTTTTGGACTAACTTGGAGTTAAATAAGTGCGTGGAGATTGTTATGAAGAAATTTTTGAAGTCGAAAATAGCAAACACTAAATTGTTATCGCCGTTTTTATTACTTAAAATGAATAACATAAATGACACTTAACATTCCTCCTCCTTGGCTGCCAAAGACATCCACTATAAGTACCTATTTACACAGTACAAATTTTTTGAATTACAAGTAACTGTAACATACTTCTGAAATACATAATCTAAATAGTAGATAGTTGATAACATCAATTACGTGGAACCAAATATAAATACAACAAGTAGTTTACGAATGGATCGAAAACAAACAATATGAGGATAAAATATGAAATGAAATCGGTAATAGTAATAGTAAGATGTTTGCTAGATTATTTTTCATTTCGAGTTGCAGAGAGAACTGTTTATGTATGGAAAAATAAACAGATAATTTATTATCCCACTTTCAATTACTTTGGGTTTTTTTACTTGTTTCTGTGATGTCTCAACATTTCAGTGTAAAATATTCTTTATTGTCTAGAACACTGGACAGAAACAGGTTCACTTTTGATGAAATAAAACAATAAACAGCTGGAGAAGAGTGAAATCTCATCAACAAACGATTTCATACAAACTCGATTGTAAAATTTTCGTGAGTGTAATGATATCCATAAACAAAATTTCGTACATGCTACAATATTCAAACAAGAAGCATTTAACATATCTGTTGAGCAAAACGGATTAGTTGATCAGTTAGATATATTACTCTGCTTCGGTTTGGGCACCCGGGCAGTATCACAGCCCTCACACATATCAAATGAGATATGTGTGGCGCATATGTATTTGGTGCCTTCTTGTACCGATATTTATGTGTTAAAATAAATAAATAAAGATATATTACTAAATTAACTAGGTATTTTGTAACAACTTCGGTAAGCCAACATAAAATTATTGACTATAAATAAATAAATAAATTAGACTTCTTAACTTAGGTGATTGCAAAGTTACATCAGTGACAATGTCCAGAGCCTAAAATAATTTTCAACTGATAAATCACAATGAATCGGTTAAGATTCAAAAACAATTTAATGTACAGTGCACACATCACTTACCGTCTAAATATCAAAATGTGAAGCAAAATAGTGAAATATAATGGAAACATTTATTTGACAATAATGTGGTCTTACAGCGATTATTTAAATCAGTAAAACGTACTCATCTCAATGTCACGGGTATACACTATCACACAATGGGATGAACCGGCTGTTCAGGGTTCCTTGGTTTCCAATAGCACCACAATAGGAATCAGTTAGTGACGAGTACCTCATACAGATTTGCTTGAAGAAATTATACTGTATGTTTATATCTATAAAGTTCAACCCTATGATAAATAATGAATAGTTTCTGAACCAAGAATGTAAAGTAGGTTCAACCATATGAGTTGATATGTTTTTGAAGTTGAATGAGTAGTTCACATTGTCATTGTTTTGTCTTATTAAAGAAATAAAATAATTAATTTTAAAAAATGTAAGCACTTTTTAGTCAAACGTAAGAACCGGTTTTTCTTATCTATATAAATCAGTCATAATCGATGAGCATAAATAACTACGTACATTAAGAAATATTTATTATTTAAACGTAATATAATAATATCGGCAAACCTGCTTACATGTTATATATAGGGCTAAAATGAAATATCAGTTTAATAATAAAAAATAATATGGTATAGTGATTCATGGAGAAATCAACACGGGAAGTAACTATTGTAGATGGGTTTCATATGATTTAATGTGACCATAACATGTTATTGTTTAGCGATAAAAATACATATGTTGGATTGCTGAAATTGTGATAAAAACACACTGTTTCCAACATTAACCCAGGGTTTCAAACACTGCAACATCGAAATCGGTTTGAGCGCATATGTAAACTCACTAGTCAACACAAATGTTGTTGATTAAAGCCCATAAACATTTTTTTCAGTAAGTAGGCCAATAGGAACCAAGCCAACAGTGACTTCATAGACTACTTTCAAATTATGGTTTGGTCACCCATATATTTCTTTAATCATACATCGGGGCTATCCAGGATTGCTCAAAGAGAAAAACAGAGGGTGATAATACACAAAACATTTCCCAGCCATTTAGTAGACGAAGATTTAAAGAGTCACTAACTGTTCTGCCATCTTTACATAGTACCTTATATCTAACTTCCGCATTTCCTATTTGGCTGTTCCGCCATTAGCGAGCAATGTCGCACTACTACGCTGATATTCTACTTTGCTGTAACTGCCTATGTGAACATTGATGGTGGATACAGCTTAATAGTGTCATTTTAGATTATATTTACTAAGAGGGTTCCAAATAATTAAATAAGTTAGACTACACAGCATTTAATGATTTAGTATACTTTTACACTCCAATCAAGTTCACATGTCACTCTGAAATATAGGAAACTGTACCGATAACATGAAATATAGGTAAAAATGTACCTGACATAGATACAATGCGATATAATTGAAACATCCAAGTGAAATGGAGAGAAATTTGAGATTTGGCATATTTAAATATCATTTTCATCATGCAGAACATTCAAAAAACAGACATTATTATAACTATTAACTTATAGTTAAACGTTTCATCGATTGGGAGTATAGATAACAAGTGAATATCATAATTATCAAAATTCCAATTAGTAAGTTTTAAAGGTTTTAAATAAATAAATTGGTTTTTTGACATTCACAATTACTGATAAACAATCGTAGAAATTTTATTCTTCAGAATGTATAAATATCACATGTACAACTGATGACAGATTAAGCAAAAAAATGTTTTCCAAACTAGACAACATGAAAAATTTTATGACTGTGTATTGAGACTAGTAATTTAATGAATAAAGATATTTTACTGAAACTGGCACAAACACAACTTTTTCAGGATGAATTCAGCATATCAAAATTTAAAAGAACATTCACTAAAATCAATTAAGTAGTTGGTTAACAGATTTTATGTGAGGAGATTGACTGTTACACGGTGATTGAAGTGTGATAGATTCACACTCACGAAATTTATAGACGTGCTTAGTAAGAACATACTATAAATTCAAAAAGTTCAAATAAACTTTTTCGGCGAAATTTATGAGGAATTTTACCACGATACATGATATTATCTGATAACGAATGTAATCAATTTTATTGCAGTAACAACTTTATATAAAGATTTGGACAGAATATTTTCCTTTGATAATAGTGATGGAAATTTAGATAACATTAGTGATTCTCGACTGTCAAAAGTTATGGTATCTCATAGAAGTAAAGGACTTGTATGTGTACTTAACGCAATATTTACAAGTTTACCATATAAACTAAACCTTCTCGAGCAAGTACGTAAACTCTTTTGTTTACTTTAATTCCAGACAATTTTAAAGGATGCTTGATGATACGACTTTGATTTACCTATAAATAAGACGTATGGATTCTGCATATGATTTTTCTGAATTTTTTCAGTAATTTCATAGTAGGTTGCATTTTCTGATACATCGTTTTAAGTCTTTATCTTAGAATTAAAATAGCGGAATTTTAGCAATCTCTTCCAGTGATGACATGTCTAGAAAACAGATAAACAGCATTCATCAACAATTATGCGGAACTGTTAGAATATATTGACCAGCATACAATTACAGTAGAATACACTATATTTTACAAATTCGATGAAAAACCAATTATATCATTACGACAGTAAAGTAACAAAAAGTTAGAACTGACAAAACCAAACAGATAAATATATTTTACTAAATTAGCGCTTAACTTACTTGAGAAACGGAAGGGAAACAGTAACTATACTCAAAAATATTCTTAAGCAAGAGGGCATTAATGTTAGCATTAAAGGAAATACATTATTCTTCAACATAAACGAACATACTTAAAGAGACAAGTCATTAAGATATACGCAAAACTCATATGTCCAAGTATGTTAAAGTATAAAGTGAAATTTGTGTAATAATAGTACTAGGAAACCTGATGGGATAATCTTATATTGATTTCTAAATAATTCCTTTCTTTTCAAAAACAGTAACAAACAAGTAGACTGTAATGACGATCTTTTTGCTCAATAATATATGTTTAGATACATTCAGAAAGTATTTCAACAAATGTTAATCATTTAAGTCTTAAAAAAGCATACAAAACATACAAAATACGTATACGGCTGGACTAATATCATTACCTGTAAGAGCCATCTACGTGTGGTACACGCTGTTTTAAATCGACCACTGGGGCTAGTGTTGTGCGACTACTCCACTGAGAATTGGAAGAATCTGTGGCGGGGCGTCGACCCTGAGCACGTTTCACAGCCATGTGGGATTGCATTAATTTTAAACTACAAGAGAAATTAAATAAAGCTGATTGCATACAAACGAAATAAACTCATGAATATGCATTTCAGTGAAAGCCCGTTTAAACTGAAGAACTGTACAAAAATGTATAGATTAAGTTTACTAACTCTGACTTAATATGCTTAAGAAAAACGATTAAAATTAAGAAAACCCAAGATTACAACATGATTTAAAGAAAGAGAAAGGGAATAGGCAGATCGTGAAATACCTGAATAACTCGACGGTTTTATAGCTTTCAAATTACATCAAAGAGGCAAGGAAGTGAAAACAGGTTTGTAAGATGATTAGAAAAGTGAATATACGTAGATCAGTTCAAGTTTTAGCCCATAGAAAAACCACACAGATAAGAAGTATTGGAATGTTCCTGAGAGAAAATCAAACATGTATAGATTATTTCCAAGATTTGGCATCTTTCTAACTATGGACTTCAACTACTGATCTCTTACATTACGAAGACAGTTTACAGTTTGCAGCACGATTCAAACAGTACACAAAAACACCATACACAGACGCCAACATTTAATTATCCTTTACTTCGTTTTAAACTGAACGTGAATGTATAAACCAAATATCCATCCTTCCTCAGGTTCTGGAAAATCGATACAGTTTTAGACGTCCAACTATAGTCGTATTTCATTACCTTAGGGTATCGTTCGACTCCTTTGATCTCAAGGATCTATGGAAGTGTCCATCATTGAGAGGCGTACCAAAGAAGTACACCTACCTTGCACATGCTCTCCACCCGGACACTTTTGGTCAGGTCAGAGATTGTAGCGAACTGCCATCAAAATTGGTTACTTTTCAGGGATTGATCTACCTGGAGATCCATTCGTTTACCTAGAATACGTGGATGATATGGTTCTGTTTGATGAAGGCGCTGACGAAATATGGTCCTTCGACTGCCTTACGCAACAATGAAAGCACGTTTGGGTTGAGGTTCTCTCCCGCCAAATGTAATATAATACTTCAGGATTGGCTTGCGTCACCGTTTGAATTAATGATAGTGAGTGAAGTGCTTGAACGCATCGACAGCTTTACTTAGAAGTCTCATCAATACTATTCTGGGATTTGGTCAGACAATTTTATCTCTCTCTGTTAATGGGGTATAGCAAATCGAACTGATGTGCATACGTACCAGGTTATACCCTATGACTGAATGAGGTTATTAACAATGTTATACCAGTGGGATATTTTCTCAACATTCGATGGAAGCATTATGGAAGAATTTCTCTAAGACAAAGAAAAATGGGGAATTACGATGAAAGTAATAACCAAAATAAAATTTATTTACATTTATTTGACTCAACTTTACGCATACCCACTTAACTACGCGTACATACACACAAAATGGGAACAAAAAACAGAAAGTGACAACCATTCACCGTTCACATTAGCCACGATAATCAGATTTTACGATCTTTTAGGGTAAACACTTGTACATAAAATTATGATGTAAATGAGTAAAAAAGTTTGACAACTATGAATGTACTACTGAAAAATTAAATCATGTTACCTACCGCTATATTCTGGTGATTATTGACTATATTATGCATTTCGATATACCGATATATTAATTAATCTTTTTAGGATGAATATATTTGTATAACAGTAATGCAATGTATAAATTTTCCCATTAGTATTGTTTAATATGCAATTAAATAGTAAGTAGGTGTAAATACAGGCAAAGGGATGAAGAATAAAATACTAAACGAATACTACTCTTAGTCAATCATTTCACCAGCTGAAAAAGCAAACTAATTTAAAGCTATTGAATTAATGATAACTTACCTGGAATTTGAATTGACTGAAGAAGCATTCACATTGAATTGATTAGATGATGTTACATCAGATTCCGACCAGTTAGCAGTGACACGCAAACCAACTAATGGAGCATTTCCTGACTTGTTAGACGACTCACTGGATGTTAAAGTATCGAGAGGTGTTCCGTCTAAAATATCCAAGTCATCATATAAACTTGACGTCATTGTTTTAAACTAAAGCTTTGATCCTGTGCATTCAGCAAAACAACTGAAAAAGAACAATAATTCATTAAGTAACAAAGTTCGACGAATCAAGGCGTAATAGTGTACAAGCATTCATTTATACAAAAAAGAATTTTACAAACCACATTTTAATGAACTGAATTTATTGAGATCATTATTTGAGATCTATACAGACAGAGTACGGTCTATAAGTTTGAATTTCTACAACTTAGAATGTAGATTACAATAACACTTGTAATATCCTTGAACGACTTTCCATGCTGTCTAAAATTCACGAAATAATTTAATAAATAAAATTTGATCTACACCGAAAAAATTCACAAATTTATAAACTTAGAAGGACCCTTAAGAAATATAGAACACTAACCAATTGTATTTGTTTGAAGTTAATATAGTTGTACAGGATCTTCATATTTAATATGTGAGATGCAAACTGGAAAATAAGTCTTCAAGCAAACATTTTCTGGCTTATTAATTTTATAGACCAGATTCTTTCTGATTAGTTATTTGTAACTGTAAAGTAGATAATGGTAGTATATGTGAATAAATACAACTATGCTTGAGTCAATGTAAAGCCTTTTTAAGGTGAAAACTGAAGATAATTTTAAAAAACTTGATATTTAAATGTAATGAACACTAAAAAGTGGAGTATAGATAGGAAGCCTATATTATTTAGAAATACATGCATAGAGTATGACTTCTTTCTAGAGTGAAACAGCAAAAATTCGGCCTGTTTCTAGCACAACTATTGCAACGAATCAGAAAATGAGATTTGAATTCGAATTAAATTTTAAAAAGATAAAAGATCAGGAGTAGTAATAATTCCGAACAAAATTTATAGTTAGGAAATATAGGGATTATATAGTTATTTAGTGATATATGTGAAAACGACAAATTATTGCCGACTTCAACTTTAGAACGAAGCTGATTTTTAAGACAAAAAAGATAGGTATGCAGAAATGTTAACTCGGGCAAATGATATCCAATTCAGAACTCTTAAATGAGTGCTATAACTGTAACCAAATTCAAGTTTACTGTCCAGGGAGCCATTGCTATAAACTGAGTGAATACATGCAGAATATATCTAAGTGCAAATACGATGATATACAAAAAGCATATTAATAAACATATGTACACTATTGTATTAGACTTATATTATCATTAACTATTAAGCAGGTGATACGGATTTGAACATCATTTTCTCACTGCACGGGAAATTAGAGTATTTCGAAAGTTTGAGAAAATATACTACAATTCATTGATGAAATGTATTACGATGAATAATTGACATCTCACTTTATGTTTGCTGAGATTCCTTTTAATATGGTTTTACTGTTAGAGGTAAATAAGTGAGAACTGAATAGTACTCAATAGTTTTGTCCAACTGAAGTCAGTAAATCTGAATCATTTCACTGTGACTTAATGGCTAAATGATGCATATTTTTTGCAAACCTCAATTACCAATATAATCGCACATTTATATTTCGATTTCCTGTAAAATGAATAATCCCTACATGATTATTACGGTTAAAAAGAATAGAAAACTCTACTCTCAATGTATAAAAGACTTAACACCATAACGGACAAGTCGATAGCAGAAAGCACAATCGATATATCACTAAAGTAATATTTTAGAGCAACCGTTATTTACAGAGCCAAACAGACGTATAAAAAAAAAATACACACTGCATTAATTCACTTTTATTTTTTGTACAGAGCAGAAAATTGTACAGAAAATTGACGCAACAACGTACTACATGAAGGTGTACACAGCACTTGTTCAATAAATTAGGCATAATCAATTCAACATACTATAAACGTATATTTTTATTGTATGATTAGGAACAGAAAGGCCACAAGATATACAAAACACAACAAAGATGATAATATTTAATTTAGAGGGAATTTTCTTTCAAACAAATGTAGAAATTAAAGGCAGTTGTAGGTCAGCCATCAACATTAGCAGCAACAATCTTATGTACTGTCATTACTCAGTGAAATTGGATTCACATATTTATGGACAAATAGATGCATATATAATTGTGATTTTTAAAAAAAACGGTAAAAATTATGTAATATACAAGCATGAGTTTTTTTTTTATTATTTTGTTTACATTGTCGAATACTGAACAAATTTATGAAACGGTATGAAATTTTAAAACATAACTTAGTTTGAATTTTGTATATTTTTTCTTTGCGTTGATTGGGAGCCTAGATATTAATGAGAATTCGTTGTATAGTTTATAATAATGCATTTTCTAAAAGAAAGAATCGAGTGAATAAAACGTAAACAATGCGTAAAATTCTGAAGAAGAAGAAATAGATAACAACAAATAAGAGTGGTTCTTTATTATTGCACATAAGTATATGTATAGTTGTTCATTTTATAATAACGTTTAGAATAATTGATTATTTGCCTACGAATCTTTTTTTCAAATTCATAAATATGAAACTTTATAAACATACCATTACAAGTAGAGTACATAGTAGTTACAGAATATAGCTCAAAACGTTATTTATACAAGTTGTAGAGATTTATAAAAGCAACAAGATAAATTCTTTCGTTGGGTGAGAAGCAATTTTACAGTGGTCAAAGATATTTTGAAAGACTAACGAAAAACAACTAAAAAAACAAAAAATGAAAGAACTTGGTTAAAAAATTTAACATCATTTTCAGGTTAAAGGCATTATCAACACACATTTTCTAAACTGAGATTTCAAAAGTCCCATCAGGGGAATTAGAATCACCATCCTTTTGCCATCGTGTGACTAAATGATTAGAATTCCTATGTCCAGTTGATTGCATTCGATTGTTTGGTGCATTCAGTTTAGAAATTCGATTATGCGGAGGTAATGGTGGCGTAGGACGTGAACCAGCTTGTGTCATAATTGAAGGACAATGAGTCGAACCAAATGACTGAGATACAAATTTTGAAGCTGACTGCTCATTTGTACGTGGACTAACTATGAAGTAACTAGATCCATCCACTTGAACCCCATGAGGATTACTGAAATAAGGTGGTTTGACCAAACGAAGATTAGAGGATGCTGTGGTATTAGTAAATTGACTAGCTGTATCAGCCGGCAAGAAATATGGTACTGATTTAGAAATACCGTGAGGAGGTACAGCTGGAGGCCAAAATGGACGAGCATGAGAAATATTTGTCTGAGAGCCATGAGGAGGTAGAGGTGGAGGAAGACTATGAAGTGACCGTGGAGATAAATGATTGGCAACTTCATTATGGGGTAGTAAGTGTCTTTGATCTACTTGCATTCCAGGAGACCGAGGATAAAACTGGTGTGGAAATTCATGACGGCGTTGTTCGGATCTCAGTGATTTCATAAAACTCCTTGATATATTGCTGGTTGGTAGATTTACAGATTCAGGGGTGGAACAATCAAGTGTAGCTGACGTGACATAATGTATTCCACGACCTGTTGAAGGAGAGTAAGATTTAGATGAACACTGTGTACCATTAAAATCCTGAGGAGTGCTGAATCGTTCGGCAGTAACAACACGTGGTTGAGAAAATGGCGCACCATATGAACTTATCGGTAGGGTGGCTCGATCACGGATATTCATCATCGAATTAGATGATGTACAAGGACACATATTTTCATTGGAACGGGAAGAAAAATCACGTGAAGAACTTCTGCCAATTTCGGTAGCGGCACTCTGATCCTGTTGTCTGAGATGAAGCGAATTACTTGACTTACTTTGGTTTTCTATGGTAAGTTTTTGCAACTGACGTCCCCGAATCAAGTCAACGTCCGAATTCGCTTGAGATCCTAGAAGTGGAGTTAAATGGTCACCTTTTGTGCCGAAACGATCTCTATCGGATATGATTTTTGTGGGGACATTAGTAGCTGTTACAACAGAATTGATATTAGAATTAAAGCTAGCACTATTTTCATTTGATACATATTTCGATGTACTTGTTCCAATCAGTAGACTTTTACCTTGATCTTTGTTACCTAAAGACTTTGACTTTGTTCCTACTAAAGCAAGATTTGGATTTGTTTTACTTAATTCGCCAGTCCTTCCACAAACAGGAGATTGAGATCTAGACATAAGGTTTTCATTAGTGTGGGTTGCATTTGAAAACTCTTTAAGGGATAAAACTTTTGATTGTGGGTTGGGTGAAAGAGAATTGTTTAATTCATGATGAACACTTGATATTAATTCGGATGTGTTTCGTTGATCAGAAGAGTGATTAACTATATTTTCCAAATCCACTTTTTCACAAACAACTTCTCCCTGTTTAACAATATCAACCGGGTTTTTAGATGGTTTCTACAAAGATACACAAAAAAAAAATTGTCACACAAAAACTAAAAATAAATTTAACAATACAATTTTCGAGCATTTTTAACGCAAATGAACTTGAAAGATAATAGTTTTGCGGGAACAAAGAGTAGCAGTAATTCACTATGAACTAACTAAATCATTTTACAGAACTTATGAAAGTTTGAGCCAGATTGGTAGCTGAAAACTACCTAATTGAGGTCCGCGTGATGGCTGCTCTTAATAGTTGAGTACACTAGGTGACATAGATAAGAATCGGTCACAGAAACAAACTTCCGTCTATTCTTTATCTTCTAGATCATGAATCCCTGAATATATTCATACATATCCTTTCATTCTTTCTTCCTAAACCTTAGTCTTAATGTTCAGCCGTTTTAATTATGATTGCTACTACAATTATTTTGACCACATATCTATTCATTTTATTAATTCCACCTTGTGTTAACAAAGTATGAAGAATCGAGTTGACCAAAATTTAAGCAAGTTTCTACGTTGATTATGGCTGATAGAGAGAAATCATTTCAACAACATATATGAAAACTTGGTCTATATAACTTTGTAATATAAATATTCAAACCACTTGGCTAGAAATTTAAGACTTTAGTCAGACGAAATGCACAAATAATCGATGTCATATCGTGTTTATATATTACCGTTTCATAGACTTGGTCTTTAAAGTGTGTTGTGGGGTCAAACTACGACTATCCATATATATGATGT